CGTGACTCCATAGCAATTCAGCACTTAAAACAGAAGTGCTGAAAGCGATTTCTCTTACACCTGAAATACATTTTTCTCGAAGCAGCAACTGACTGGTTTAGTATGTTTTTCTTATAAAACCTGAAGGCTAGGTGAGTCCTGAGCTGTGTTTTTGCAATGCCTCAACATCAGTCTCTCCTTTTCTCTATGCCCTCCATCTTTACTTGAAAGAATTTTCAGCTGGCTGAGCTACTTCTATCTTTGTTAAAAAACAGAAGACTTTTGAAGTGATGTTTTGGCTCTATGCAGGCAAAGCCTCACTTTCCAAACAGAAATATCTGAGGAGGCCAAAGCCCTCGGATATCAGCATGTTTTACTTTGCAGTTCATGTCCTGGCATCCTACCAGGACAGCTCCTAATATCAGTCTAGTTACTAATGAGAATCTTGGGATCCTACTGATGATTTATTGTGATGCTTTTTTCAACATGGAATTACAAAGAACCAGTCTTCCAGGGAAGAGAGAGATGACAGACACATCAACTGATGGGTCTTAAGTAAAAGCACAGAATTAAATGTGCCCAGTTTGGGCCTCTGGGCCCGAGGTCTACACCAAAGGAATCTTGCCACACTTCCAGACACCCTGAAATGTCACCTACACCACGTTTTAGGTCAAATGTCTAGAATTACGTAGTCACAGACGGTTAGAACTAGACAAACCCCCATGACGTCACCCTCACGCAAGAGACACATTTTAAAAGGAGGAACCTGGGCAGAGAGTGGAGCCACTCATGGGCCCCTTTGTCTCGCTGAGTCTGGGTTTCTTTGTCCCCAAACAGACTAGAGTAACACCCAGAACCTCACATAAATGACTCTGGGTCCTCCCAGACCTGAAAGGTGCGGAGGCCTTGCCAGAAAGTTCCGATCCACGTACCGGACAAAGAAGAAGGAGGCCCCGTCTCAAGAAAACTGCATATTCAACCTGACTCAGATTTCCCCTCTCCCTCCCCGCCAGATCTGGGCCTTTAACATTCTCATCCAGAAAAGAATTTTCTACTTAAAAGTACTTACCACTACATTCTTTTTTTTTTTTAAGTAATCCTCTAAGGCCTTTAAATTTTAATTTGGTTTGCCCACAAATAAAAATTTTATACTTTTCAAAACCACATAGAACCCTTATAAACGGAATTTTTTAGTACATGTGAGTTAGTTTTTCACAAACAAGACAACAAAGACGGGCACTAGATTATCGGGGTGATCACTTGCTAAGTTATACGAATGTCTAATCGCCATGCTGCACCCCTAAAAATACTATAATACTGTATGTCAACTGTAGTTGGAAAACACGCACAAAACTAGTCAATACCAAAAAAAGCAAAAGAAACAAAACTCTAATAGCCCTTAACAAGTAGCAAGCACAGGAAACCAAAAAATGTTGTACTATCCTTCTTTATATATCCATCCGATCCCCACCCACAGATAGCTAAGCCAACATTTGTGTGGGGTTTTTTTTTGTACCCATAATTAATAGGAGAATATTGGAGCAAATCAATAAAATCTACTTTTTTAAAGTAATATGCACACATATTTTAATGTAGTACTTTAAGCCTGGTGTTTCAATGACTCAGATACTAGTGAATGGAATAACAGAGGCAAATAAAGAACTGCTGATTAATTTTGAGTTATTTTAAAGAATAAAAGAGAAATTCACTCGGAGAAACTCGCTTCTGTCCAGATCCCAGTGAAGAATAAATGCCCGAACTTAAGCCACTGAACACAAGGCACGTAATACCATTTCTGCCGAACGAATTTCAAGTCCCATCGTTTATAAACAGACATCAGGTGCAAAAACTCAGAACGTTCTACTTCAGGGACAGATGCATCTGTCAGGCTCATCAGGAGACACGGGAAAGGCCTCAAGCTGTGCACGTTCCCTGGGGCTCTCTCTGGCTGCTTCCCGTGGGGGCAAATGAGGAGAGTGGCCTTCTCACCGCATTCCCTGCCAGTAAAAAGGCCTTGGCTAATTTGCATAATCTAAATGGAGAAGTAATTGTCAGAGTGCATTTCCAAGGGACTTGCTTTTCCCCGTGCTGTTAACTATAGGGAGGTCCTCTGAATTCCCCGCTCACTGGCTCTGAGATCCCAGCAGTGGTGAGCGGCCGGGAGGCCAGGCAGCAGGGAGCCCACAAAGCAGCCAGCTTCAGGCTCCTCTGGGCGGCCCCTCCGCCTGCAAAGCCCCAGTCACTCCCGCGGCCTGTTTCTCAGAGGAGAGGCAGAGCAGCTCAAACGCCAGGGCCGGGGCGGGAGGACTGAACATGCAGTTCCAAACCTGTGTGTGTGTGTGTGTGTGCACGCGCACGCATGTGCGAGGGTGTGTGTGGGAGTGAGGGTGTGACAGTATGCGACAGTGTGCAAGTGTGTGTGAGCACAGGTGAGGGTGTGTGTGAATTTGTATGAGTGAATGTATGTGTATGTGTGAGGATGAATGGTGAGTGTGAAGGTGAGTGAATGTGAACATGTGTGAGTGTGGACATGTGTGAGGGTGGACATGTGTGAGATGTGTGAGGGTGTGAGTGTGAGCACGTGTGAGGGTGTGAGCACTTGGGTGCAGGATAAAAACAAGCAGCAAAGCCAGAGAAGAGAAAGGGGTGTTGGTACCGCAGCGCCTCAGACAGAGCTGGCTCAGGGTTTATCTCTGAAACACTGAGGAGCCCAGCCAATCAAGATGTCTGGCCGTCTGTAGACAAAACAGCAATACCTGGTAAGCAAGGGATTTTTGAGCCAATGAGCAGATGTTGTGGTGTCGCAAGTACGGCTCCACCATAACAATCTGTACAAGAAACAGAAAACTTAGCTTATCATGCCAGCACTCAACCAGAAGCTCAAATGTCCCTGGGACCCCATAAATTCCAGTTGGTTACCCCCTCACCCCCAACACATTCTCCATCAGCCTCGTGTGAGTCAGAGAGCAGGGCGGGCAGGGACTCCTCCTGGCCCTGCTCTGGGGAGTCTGGGAACCTGTTTAAAGGCGGGAAGGCGGTGGACAGGGGCAGGCCGAAAACACCGCCAAGCTTCCCTCGGGCACCTGACACAGACACACACAAACACGAGGGTCACCTGTCGTTATTTCTCGCCCCTCCACTCTCTTCCAGGCGAGAGCCCTTTTCAAACCCGAGACGCGATAACTGTTTTGAGAACCAGCCCATAGGAGCTGCGGATCCGCCGCTAGAATCGGCGAATGGAAAGCGGGAGAAGAAGTTAAAGCACCTGGGCTGTGCCAGCGCTGCTTTGGGGTTTAAAACGCAAACGGGAGGCATGAACAGAGGTCCATGTCCTCCTCGCCTGTAACTGTGGGCAAGAAGGCAGAGAAAACCGGCCCGTCTCCCGGGAGCAGCGCTTCCCACCCGTCCTGTACCGCTACCCTCCTGGTGGGCCAGCCCTCCGCTAGGTGGGCCAGGCCTGACACCCCGTCCCGGCCACCGAATGCCAGGCTGACCTGGGCCATGTTTTGCCTCCCGACCACCGACAGAAAGCAGAGCTTCATGAAAAGAAATGCCCTGGTTTCCCAAAGGCAGATTTCTGCAGTGGGAACGAGGGACAAACATGCTTTGAGGCCCAAAATACCTTAGACAAGGATGTAGAGTAGAAATACAAAGTTCTCGGTGCCGTGGGTTAAGTCACAGAGGCACAACCAACAGGGCTGGATATTCAAGATGCAATCGGAAGGCTGCCTACGACACGAACACGCAGACTTTCCCCAGGAGCACAAGAAGCCCTCGCAGGCTGAGCGAGGAATTTCCCCAGACGCTGGAAAAGCTGAGAGAAAGTCCAGGCCCTTTCAGAAGCGCTACCTTCAACGCGTGTCTTCCGTAAGACACTCTGATCATCCTCAGAGCGAGAACAGCGGAGGACTGAGATTAACCACAACAGAAATAAACAAGATGTCAGCACGATGGACCAGGACGGATGCACTTGAACATGTACCCGCACCAGTCAGCACGCATGTCCATGAGGTGGTGTCCACCCTGGAGACATCACCCAGGTCCCTAGCCGGGCAAGTTGACCTAACGCAACATTCTGTGGTTAAAGAAACGCAAAGCCTGGTTTTTATTTTCATTGACACATCAAAACTGCATCTTAGTTACACCGGCCCCGTGAATATTGCCATGTCCTGACTTAACTTACTGAGGCCCAGTGGCTCTTCACCCGATAGACCCGCCACAACCACATCTCCACGTCTCAGGCCCTGTCACAGAATCGCATCACCCGTTTTCCTGGCCTCTTAGCATAGAGGCCGAGCCAATTCAATGCCGCCCTGTCATTTGTCCTCTGCCTAAAAGAATCGCAGCATTCAGTGGTTCACCTGGTCAGACAGCAGCTCCCCTTAGCAGCTCTGCTCACTCCCGCTGGGGATTAATCGGAAGATTTTGGTAACATTCGAGAACACCATCTTCCTAAGAAGTGGCTGGCGACCTACATACAAACTGTTTTGTTTTGTTTTTTTAAGATGTTCATGGAAATAGCTACAAACACCCGGAGAGAATAAGTTGTGACTGCCCCAGGGCCCGGGCCAGTCTCCGAGACTCAGTAGAAAGTCAACCTGTCATTTGTCCTCTGCCTAAAAGAATCGCAGCATTAAGTGGTTCACCTGGTCAGCTCACTCCCGCTGGGGATTAATGCCTGTCATTTGTCCTCTGCCTAAAAGAATCGCAGCATTCAGTGGTTCACCTGGTCAGACAGCAGCTCCCCTTAGCAGCTCTGCTCACTCCCGCTGGGGATTAATCGGAAGATTTTGGTAACATTCGAGAACACCATCTTCCTAAGAAGTGGCTGGCGACCTACATACAAACTGTTTTGTTTTGTTTTTTTAAGATGTTCATGGAAATAGCTACAAACACCCGGAGAGAATAAGTTGTGACTGCCCCAGGGCCCGGGCCAGTCTCCGCGACTCAGTAGAAAGTCGGAAAAAGCAGGGGGCATGAAAGCAACTCAAGTTCTAGAAAAATCTCAGGGCAAGACTTACCACTCTGGGCTTCTGCTGGTCCAGGGTGTGCAGGAAGGCGGCGCTGGGGTCCAGGCAGCGCTCGGGGTCGCTGGAGATGTCCTCCTCCGAGTCCTCGTAGGAGGAGGAGAAGCCGGCGGAGGAGGCCGAGGAAGAGGACAGCTTCCTCAGGGGCAGGATGCCCAGCGGGCTGCCCTGGGCCTCCTCCAACACCCCATCCTCCTGGGCACCCATGTCTGTAATGATGACGGCGGGGATATTGCCGGGGCTGCAGGCCTCCCGCAGCAAAGGCTTGTCCTCCTGCTCCGGGGAGAGCAGCTCTGGGCCGGAGTGGGTGGCTCTGTCTTTCGGGGGGCTTCCCCAAGTCCCCTGGGCTGGTACCCCCAGGCTGCACGTCCAGGCCAGGCAGGCTTCCTCCATGGGGCTCAGCCAAGCCCTGGAGCTCCCGGGCTGCACGCCCACCCCGTCCGCAGGGAGGCACTGAGGGTCTTTCACATCTTTTGCTGCTTCCCAACAGGGCAAAGGTTCCAGCATTCCGCCAGCGGGAATTCCCGCCTCCGCCTCCCCCGCGCCCGGCTGTGTGGAGCGGCTGCCCCCAAGCAAGCCCAGCGGCGGGGACCCTTCATCCACTCGGCTGGAGCATTGCGGAGGCTCCC